AAACTTTCAATACCACAGTCTATAAGACACTTTTGAAACACAAAATTTTAAAAAAACAAGCCCATCTGAATGTGAGAGGTTGAAAGTCCATTATTCTGGACAGATACTACATACTGCTTTGATACACACCAGGAAGGGCAGGGTTTAGAAACGGGACTTAGCAGAATGCCTGTACTTTCTTTAACCTTTAGGGAGCCTAGAGATTTCCAGAAGGACCAATAATTACTAGCATAACAAGCTTTCAGAAGGGCCATCATAATAAACAGGTTAAAAGCTCCTAAGCTGAAAAAAAAAAAAAAAAAAAATAAAAGATGAGGCAAAACAGAAAGGGCCTGTATGTTTTGTCAAGAGACTAAGCACTTTAACCTCCTAGAGCCTCTAAAAGATAGATAGAATCCCTTAAAATGAATATTAAAAGGCCACATGACATGCAGCAGCTACCTTTTACTCCAAGCTGCAAGTTAATGGCAATAAGGCCAGGAATCCTGCATATTGTAATTTTGGTTGAGAGTTATAAGGCCAGGAATCCTGTGTATTTTAATTTCTTTTGCAGTTCAGGCCAAATGATGATTTATCCAGTGATAGAAATATGTAAGATCACTGTATTCATCTCATTATCTTTGCAAAAGGATGAAGGAACCATCATCGAGATACTGGCCCTCTACCTTTACACCTCCCAGGCCAAAGCTATTCAAAATACCACCCCTCCCTAAAAAAGGAAGTTTTTCGTAAGGTACTTGGAGCAGGAAGCATTTTGTATTTACACAGACTGAAATTATAAAAATAGCCATCTAGTAGAATTTATTTATATGAGTATGTAAGCCACATAGGATGTCTAAGCAAGAAATTTTCACTGAATAAACACTATTTTAGGTGGTGATAAAAGAATCTATAATCATGTGTTTAAAAAGACACCAAGTACTTCTCCCCTGCTCCTGTTTAGACACTAAACAGAAGTGAGCTTACAAACAGAACTTTATAATAGTCATATACAATACAGGCACAATTTATTTAAAATAATCTTCATTACATAATCAGATCTGAATCTAGTATGTTCCTTGTTTTCAATATTATTCTGCTGCAGGACAAAGAACTCTGAAGTGATCTTTTGTATACTGCTAAGTGAATAATGTATTTCAATTTAGAATCATTATTCATCTCACTGGCATTTTGTTAATACATTTTTTATTCCTGAAAGTATGTTTCTACCCTCATTTCTTAAATTCTTTGGTAATCCATTATATGAAGGATGAAGGCATACACACACTTAAAGAACTGTGTTTCTGTACCAAATAAGGTGTTCTGTAAATGTAGAAAGAGGTAGCCTGTTACTCTGTTTTGGAACGAAGGTCACTAGCAAGATGTTACAACTAGACAGATAAGGGAGAAACAGTTTAAGAGCAAAATGTTTCACCATTCAATACCATAGTTTGACCACACGTATTTCTTTTATAATTATTTCCTCTTATCACCATGCATCAACTGGTTACTCAAGCAACAAGGGACTCAAACTATTCCCCAGCAATTAATCACTACAGATGCACAACAATTTGTTCAATTTAAGGAGACTGAATGCTATTACAACTCAATAGGTCTGACACAAAGTTTAAACAAACAACACTCTGGAGCTTGGAATAGCTTATGTTTTTCTACTGCTGCAGTTAAGACACACCTAGAAAATCCCACACTGAAAGATCACAAATTGCTTTAATTCCTTTCTTGTCTTCTCAGCAATTGCAATGCCTCATTAAGCTTTTTAAATCAATAGAGGCTGACTTTGCATTAGCTGCACAGACATAATGCACAACAACAATCTAGGAAGACCATACACTACCTCCAGCCTTTATGAAATCAGTTGATGGAATCATGCTAGGAAAGACATTCTACTGAGGCACTGATTGAGATTTTTACTCAAGTTTTTAATCTCAAAGCTGTCCCTTAAATATAGGCACTAGGAAGTCAGATACTTGTAATTTAAGATTGATGGATTTCAGATTGCAAAAGATAATGAAATAAAATAGCATGGAGCCTTTGTTCATCTGATTGAAATGAATGACCACTTTACTATATATCCTGTAGATGTAAAACAAATTATGTTTGACAATTTTGCTCACTTATTAGCCTGAAGTTAAATTTGGACTGTCTCAACTTCCATATATCTTTCTAAATCAAAGTTCTTGGATTAATTAGGACAAGGCTTCATGACTAGTTTAATTGATCTAAACACTTCTCCACAAACTACAGTCTCATACTCCTCTACCAGGGAGATGCTCCCATTCCCTTCCTCAGGTTAAAATGCCTGTCTTTTCCTATAGTTTTCACTTTCTGGCTGGATCAGATTTCCTGATCCATCCCACCAGTCTCAAACATAGTAACATTCCCGCCAAGGAACAGGAGTAAAAATGCAGTTTGTAGCACAAAGGAAGACTGGCTATTAAAGCTCTTTTTTTTTCTAGAAAGATGAAAGAAAAAGAAAAATTCCATCATGCAGGTAGAGGTCAAACTGGATTTTATACTAGACTTAGAAAATACCAGGGTCTACTCTGTATTACAATCTGCACAATCACTTTAAACCTTTATGTTTTATTTTTGTAGATGGTAGTTCCTGAACCTCTGCCTCAGCTTCTCCAGTCAGTGACAACCAGTATCAGAACTAGCATGCTCAACCACAGCTGGAAGGTCATGGCTATCCTACATTCATATAGCACTTTAGAAGAACACAAGCTCCAAGCGTGCTTAAATATAACATAGCAGCAATAGCTCTTCAAGCAGAAATTTAGACATTCTTGAAACCAATCTGCATAGGATTACATTGTCACTGACAGGACTCAGATTAGATTCATGCATTCAGGCACAGTCCCAAAGCTTCAGAGTCCAGTTTTTATTCTGCTGTTGAATCTGAAAACTAAACCAAAGAAAAATCAAAATAGCTATAGGGGGGGTGGGGGACGACAAAAACAAAACAAAAAACCCAACAAACAACAGTCTACCTCCACTGGCAGTTTCCCCAGTAAAGTATGCATTTAGGGAACTAATATTTGGATGTAGACCAGCCTTCTATGCCATACTAGAGAGAGTCAAATGGCCTTTTTTGCCTGTTAGTGACAAAATTCATGTTACTTTGCATAGGCTCAGTAAACTTACAGCTGAAGCCAAGTGAACATAAAAGTGCATCTTGTCTGACTGGCCAGCAAGATTTATTGTGTTTTGATCTAGCCAAGAAGCATCAAATAAACAAGCTGTGCACATTCCACTGGCTAGTTACTGGATCTGTGCAGCTATAATTAAAGTTTATAAAGAGACAGTACACTTACTAAAAGCAGGGAGTTGTTCTGCAAGTGAAGCTTAGGGTAGTTCCAGATTATCTAGAAAGGTTAACAGCTCAAACAAGCCAGCAAGCAAGGAACACAGATAGTGTGCAGGTTCCTTTCTGAAGTGCTACAGGCTTTCAAAAAAATTTTAAAGTAGCAATCAAGCTTAAGTGTCCAATAAACCTGCACAATCCTAATGGACACAATCTTTACAGTGGTGCATGGTAGGAGGTTGAGAGACCCTGAACATAAGTCGAAGTCAGAAAGATTCAGTCTAGATAAACACTCAGGGGACAGTCAGGCATTGAAACAACTTTCCCAGGGCCATACAGTCTTCATTGTTGAAGGTTCAAGACCAGAACACAGGAAAGCCAAAGCACCTTGGTATGATCTTCCTTGGATAAGGATGTTGGCTTAGAAGACTTCCTAAGAACCCTTTCATCTGAATATCTTATGATCATAAACTAACTAAATCCAGTTTTAGCCTATGCCAAGCCTTACTGTAGTAATATAAAATAAGTCTTTAACATAGCAGCTACTAGAAGATAAAGTTGTTTTCAAATGTCAATGAAAGTATTTGCATATAGGGTGGGATACATGATGTAAAGATTCACATTCTCAAAAGTATACACCAACAACATACATAAGATGCCCAAATATATTTATTTGTCTCTTAAAAAGTATGTTACTCTTTAGAAAAAAGACAGCCTAGGAAATCTCAATACAGATTAAATTATATCCAATCTGGCACATACTTCATGCTGTTGTTTAAGTAAATAAGCAAGATAAGACCTCTGAAGTCAGTAGCAATGAGGTACCAGACAGAAGAAACCCTTAAAATAAAGAGGAGCTTCAAAGCCTTTCAGCCAAGCAGAGCCAGAGTTCCAGAATGTATTCAAGAACCATGAAATATCTCTAATCCTTTTGATCTGCATTTGCTGCCAAAAATACATACAAGTTAGAATAAAGAAATAAGCATCTCAGTATACAAACTGGTAAGCCAGTTCACCAGCTCTGAGTAGTCAGAAGAGTGCAGCACTGTTCTAAAATTGAAAAAGATAGAGCTTGGGGGTTTTTTTTGTTTGTTTTTTGATAGGCTAGCAAGAACCAGTTAAGCTATTTCCTTCAAAACATTTCTCCCCCCTTCATGTTATTCAGAACCATCTCAAGACAGAAGGTAAAAGAAGAAAGTACATTATCACAGGACAGTAAGATATTTACTTTTTGTACTTTTGGTAAAGTTTTCAGTGTTAGTGCATTAAAGAGTTACTGGATGTTTATTTCTTGAAGTGCATATGGGTGAGGTTACCATAACTATGTGCCAGCAGTACAACTGTATTCATTAATGTGTTTCATATGTAAAGTATTAGCTGAAAATATCCTGCCTTAAAAGGCTAGAGATCATTTTGTTAATATCTCTATAACCATGCTTTCCCCCATTAAGTACAATAATTTACTCATCTTGTTCTTACTCAGTGGTAAAAGCCATCAACTTCACTCAGTCCTAGTGAACACACTAAGAAAGATCTCCTATCTGTCATTGGCCCCTTCAAAATTTCTAGGATGTCTCAATCCAGGAGAACTAGCAATGAGACAGATCCTCATGGTAGGTGATAATAAATAGGGACAAGTGTATAGGTGAGAAGGTTGAAGTAGAACATTACTGGTGACAAAGGAAAAGTTTACTTCAAAGGTGCAAGTGTGTATTGGGCTAAACCAAGTGAGTTCTATTTGGAATGTAGCATATGTCCCAGAAACCAACTAGACACTGAATGTTGTCTTTGTTCCTTTTTAGGAGTGTAAACACTACCTTATGTTCTCAAGTAAGAAGACACTAATCAGACTCAGATGCAGCCACTCAATCAAGTGAGTGGTAACTCACAAGATACTCAGTTTCACGCTAAACAAGAATATGTAAACACCCACAGGAATCACCTATTCAGACAATAACAGACACCCCACATGGATTGTCACAACGCAGCACCATAGCAGCAGTTTGATTTAAGGAACAGTCTTGCTGCTCATCCCATCATGTTTACTGAACAGTGGTAGCATTAGCAGCACTGTGATTTACTCTCTGCTTTCAATGGGTCTAGGTCCAATTTTGGTCTCCCCACATCATTCTCTTCATTAGGAAAGGTTTTGTAGTTGGCAAGGATGTTTTCCACCAAGAATCTAGCAGCTTCATCTATGTTGATGTTGTCCTAAAAAACATTGAAAGTAAACAAGTCACTGATTTTTTTTTTTTTTAAACAGTCACACATTCCTATCAGAAACTGACTAAATACAGAAAATCTTCTACAGTGTCATCAGCATGACACAAACAGCTTAGATGCATCAGGTCATTGCTCATACACCTGCCTTTTGAAAAAAGTTACCAGAAAGGTTTGAGACAAAGTTATTAATTCATATTACAAATAGGATATATTGACTCTAATCTAGTATGCAGCTGGTGGAGAAGACTCACCTGCATTTGTAAGACTCGCAAACACCAAAGTGCATTTCTGCATCAGGAAATATAATAGTCAATTACACTGTTCATAGTAGTGTTCTACCTTTTGGGCTCTTTTTCTGCTTCTGCTGCAGTTTGGATGCACTTATTTATGTAAAAGGACCTTTTCTATCAGCCCAAGAAACCCAGCTACCTCAGGGTGCTCCATCTCACCACTCTACATTTTCTTGTGCATTCCTTGAAAAGTACCTTCACATTCACTCTTAAGAAAGTATGTATGTCTGATACTCTGATGAAATACATCTCTAGATCTCTCAGTTACTGAGGGACCAAGTTGGACAGCACCAAGAGGCCTTTGTCTGCAGCTCTGACATGTCTGGGCCACCTGTTAGCTCACCACAAGGAATTGCTCATCTTTGGTTTCCAAGGAAATACCACCCCAGTACATTCTTCTCTCTCCATAGTTGTAGATCTAAACTCTACATAAGCAAGGTTAGACCGAGAGAATATTTGACTCATCACACTGCACTTCACAAGCTTCTGGTTGTCAGCGACAAGCTGCTTTTGGCAGTTTGCAGATAGGCACTGTTCATTGCCCAGAGTGGAGGGGGATTCTCCTCATTTTAGTTTAAGGATGTTCATAAGATATTTCTATGAACGTTCATACTCTGCAGTTTTTTTGCCTTTAAGGTTCTCCCTACACAGGGAGTGGGACCTACATTACTGATGACTAGATTAAAGATTCAAGTATCAGTTCCAGCAGAAAGGTAAAAGCAGTTTATCAGGATATTTAGGTGGGCAGGACTTAAAACCATAAACTGATTTGGTATCCTTGGAAAACAAGAAAGCTGTCCCGAATTTTTGCTAAGCTATTTTAACTACACCTCTTCAGAGGTGTAGTTATACAAGTCAATTCATAACTGAACTAGGACTAATATTGTCTGGACTTTTCTCTGCACCAAAAACTTTGTTTTACATTATTATGTCTTAAATGCCACCTAAAACACAAGCTGTCACTATACTTCCATGTTAGGTTTGTTTCAATGATACTTGCATTTGTGTTTAACCCATGTTGAAGTTTATACATAGTAGTGTTATGGGCAGGGAAGACCTAATCCAAAACAGAATCTTGGTATTCTTTTTGAGTATAAAGAGACTTAAAATACGAGTTTTTAGTAACAGATGGGTGGGATTGGGAATTATTTGTTCTAATACAAACAAATTATTAACAAATTCCTGTCACTGTGTACTCTTCTTCCTTATTTTAAAGTGATCAGGAAGAGGCTTGTTACTTTATTTCTTATATTCCTCTTAACAGACTCTTTTCTTTAAAAGAGTTGTCTAAGCATTATTTTGAGTCAGCCCATCAGCAGCAGTTAAAGGAAGTAGGCAAGTCAAGGGAAAAGAGGGACCTTGAAGTTTAGCTTAACCTATAAAGGATTTATCAGGCAGATCAGTAATTTGGTCTGTCAGCCACATCTGTCTTCATCTAGAGGAACCTTTCATTTTAAGGATCAATTCAGTTTTAAGGAATTCTTGGATTTCACTTGCAACTAAGCTACCACAAGCTTATCTGTGCACTGACCAAATCTGTAGACTAAAAGTGTACCATATATGAACTTACTCAAAGTTATCTGTTTGAATAAAGCAGCTGTCTTAGCTTAAGTTACTATACAGAACAATTTGTTTTGCTCCAGTTCACTCTTGACATTACCTGATAAATTAGAAAAGGGCTTTAGTGACATTATCATCTGGGTAGGTAGTAACAAGTGAGCAAACAGCTTGTTCACTTCTGGAGTCTTACCACTTCCTATGTGGAACAGTGAAGACAGAAGGACAGAAGCTGCAATTTAAAAACCTGCACCTAGAAGGCACGTGTATCTTTTGGATAGTTTGAACATCATTTAGTAGTATTAATATTTAAAGAATTACACTGATACTGATGCATGCAGGATGAAAAAAAATGTCAAACTCAGCTAATCAAGGTTTCCAGTTAGTTTTAAAATTCTCTGAATTTAGAATGTAGTTCTAACCTAAACCAAACATGCTGCACCTCTTCCTCAGGAATGAGCTAGCCCACATGCCACTTCCAACTTTTGCTGAACACTGGAGACTTGACTCATTTCCTATACTTGATAATTTTATTTCCCACATGACTATATTCATCCATTCTTATGTCAATACTTAGAAGATTTAAAATATGTTTCTTTTATGCTCACCTTGGCAGATGTTTCAAACCATCCAACAAAGCCACCTTCTCTGCAGAACTGGTCCATTTGAGAGGGATTCTGGTTGCCATCTTTCTTCTGGTCACACTTGTTTGCAAGAAGAACAGCAGGGATGGGGCTGCCATTGGGAAGTAGTACTTTACTGTCCAAATCATGCTTCCATTTTGAAACAGCCTCGAAAGTGGAGCCTCTTGTGACATCAAAGACGACAAAAGCACCAACTGCCTCTTTGTAGTATACTCTGGTCATGTTTCCAAAGCGCTCCTGGCCTGGAAGAGAGAACAGTGACAGAGTATATTTATATTCAAGCATGAACTGTAGTCAATGCAAATTGACTTCTCTGCCAGGTTAGTACATATGAGTTTGGCATGCAGGTCTAGTCACCTAGTTCATACAACACTGCCTCTTCTATCCTATGTAAGCTCATTGTGATATCCATTATGTGTATGACACATAACAAGTCAGATGCTGAGAAGCAGTTTGCAATCCCAACTATCACCTTGATTTTAAAAAAACCAAACTTATTTGTTGAGTAGTGTTCTTTGAGAAGTAGCTACCAGCACAGCCATATACAAATCATTCTTTCATCAAAATAGCCTTCTGCAAGATTTGTATCTAAATCTAGTTACTTCAGCTAGAGACTTAAGAAAACTCAGAGGCTTTTTCTGAAGGGTGAGCAACAAGGGTTTCTACAAGCTCCAAGGCTAACAGCTTTCAAAGTATCTTCTGAAGAAGTCATCCATATTTTTGATTTTTCCTTAGGGACAGGCTCAAAAGGAGTTAATTTAACAGTTGTAGCTAAAACTGTTATCTTCAACTTCATCTTTTAAGTCTAAGACCCTCTCTGGAATAATTTCCAACTATAGGAGTTCTACAGCAATCCCAGGATTTGAAAGAAGACTATCAGAATAGTTAAATTACAATTATTTACAACAAAAATCCGGAAGAAAACCAATGGTCAGTGAGCATAGTAAACTAAAGCCTTCTCTTAAGTACAACTACTGTATTCAGTACACTAGAAATGTAGAATTAGAGTGCAAGTACAGTCATTCTTCTGTTTGGAAGGTCAGACCACCATGCTGTTTGTACTTGAGTGAGCACAGCAGTGTCAAGTTCTAGTATGTTGCTTGGGAAGTTTGGGCTACTAAAATAGCTTTCTTCTTTGTTCAGAAGTCTTCCTTGGGAAAAGTAGCCCCTGCATTTCATAATTTAGTTTTACAGTGTATTACCACTTCAGCTTTTAGCATTTAATACATATGTGGGTTTACAATAGATAGAGAAAGTAAGAATTTTAATTGAAAATATAATCATCCTCTGTTTATAAACATTCAAATCCACCTTTTATTAGCAAGGATAAACAGTTACAAGAACTCCAGTTTTATAATATTTTCAGAAAGAAACAGAAATTCATTAGGTGAAGGAACTTGACAAGAGATCCTGTTCAACAGCATGCTCAATCACCTCATTTTAGTGTCAGTACTTCAGTGTACCAATTAGCTCATTCCCAATAGACATTTTCAGAGAAGGTTGACTAAGCAGCTCTTTGAACTGCCTGAAAGCAGCAGCAGCTACAGTGAAGTTCCAGAGAACTATAAAGCTCTATAAAGCAGACTATGTCTGGCTGTTCAACTTTAAAGTATGATGCTGCATAAAACAGCACCACTAGCTAGCATATTCTAAGGAATGGAAATACATATGAATTTCTTCACCACCAGCTCATTATCCCCTGTGTGAGAACAAGCATGCAAAAGGAAATCTCTTCCCTGCTTAAACATAACTCAAGTTTTGAAGCAGTATTTATGCCATGGAATCTAAGGCCAACAAGCCAGGCACCAAGCTTGCATCTCAGTAACTTTATCACTGGAACAGACACATTGCTGATATAAGTCTCCTAAACAGTGTACACAGAACTTGCATACAAGTAACTCACATTGTTTCCTTAGGCCTTTCCAGGCTGGATTCTTATGCCTAAAAGGTGTTTTTGGTACAGCTTTACTGCAAATTGTTGTACCAAGTGTCCATTGTTTTCATGAATCAAATGCCATTAGAAAAGAGTTTGGCCAGAAGGTTTTTACTACTTCTACAAATCAATTGTGTCACATCTAAAGAAGCTTTACCTTTAGATTGTGGAGATTGTTTTTTAAAATGGAGCTGCACAGGGTCAAATTTAGTTATATTAAGCCAGCCACTGAATACAGGACCACACAAGTATAAGGAGCTCCTTCTCAGCTTCCCCATTTGTGTGGCCATCAGTCTCACCATCAATTCCTGTTACAGGGGAGTGCCTCTGACTGTGCTAAAGCACCAAGTCTTGTGTCCAATTCAGGCAGTATATCTCTTCACACCAGAGGACGGGCCCACTGCCTACTGCTTTCCCACCCAAAGAAGCTTTTAAGCCTCCTATAGCAATAAACATTACTGAAACATGCACAACATGGTGCATTTAAGGTGTACAAAAGACAGAACTAGTACAGCATCATATAGAACTTCCAAAGAAAATAAATGCAATTACAAAGTATATCATAACTAAACTTGAAGAGTCCTAAACAACACCAAATGTTTTTTCTTAAAGAAATGACAGGAGGCCTAGTCTTGGCCAGAAAGTCTGATCATCACTCAGATAAATTGACAAATTCCATTTCCAAGAGAATTCCCATCATCTTACCATAGGCAGTCTTCCCCATCTACCTGGCCCAATGCCTTTATACACAATGAACTGGAGAGCTGCATCGACTGGTACTTAACCAAGATTGCCTGGCAGTTGGTTCCTTGACATTGGTGACTTCTCATGCCCCAGTATCTCCCAGCCTATATGAAGCTTTAACACCACGCAGCCTCTTGCTAGATATGCTACACCAGAATGGCAACAACAGTCTTGTAGCAGAGCAGCACACTAGCTGAATCCCTTCAGGGGGTCCTGACCAGGAGAGAGGCTACTGCAAGTGAGGTTGTGCTTACTGGCAGATTAAGGAGCTCTGGAATAATGCAGAAGCCAAGGTTAGCTTTGTACAGTAGCTTTTCTCATTGTGTGAGAAGACAGCACTTCTGGTAGGAACATAAGCCTGCACTGAACTGTACTTTACTTTGTACTCTATAGCAGTCACTTAGAAAGCATAGGCTTCAGCTACTCAGAACAACCATTTAAATATTATTTCTAGCTGGGTTTATTGATAGAAGAATAAGAATTTTGACTTTGGAGTTGTAAATTTGGAAAAATATTATTACATATTCTTCTGTAATTTAAATGTGGCTGAAAGTAGACAATTCATGTGCATATCAGCATAAAAGCATGTATCTTTACTTGTTAGATCCAAGCTTTACATTAGGAGGATTTGATAGCCCTTACACCTAAAACCACACACAAGCTCAACACCACTGTAGTATGAGAGATTAATGCCTTTTAATAGGTCTAATACTCCAGTAGGAGTGCTGCCCTTTTCTAAAGTAGCCCAAACTCCAAAACAATTTATTTCACAGAGCTGCTTTCATCTCTAGAATTCACATCCATTAACAATAAACCTCACCTGCATACTACCTTATGACCTCTCTTCCATCCTGCCTGGAGGCCTAACAAGGATGGATATATTCTTTTTATTCCACAGAAAGACAACAGAAGCAATAACACACAGCCTGATGAAGAGGTAAGAGCTTTGTTGCAGTAAAAGGTATATGGCATGAGGCAGGAAGATAATTCAGTATAAACTGAGTAGATGTTCTTTACAATCCTGTTATTACTGACAATGTGAATGCCAAACTTCTTGTAGGGGAGGCAGAGCATTCTAGACAGCCTTTTGAAAATTTAACAGGACTTCCAGGCAAAGCCTTTGCAAGTGCTTTTCTGTTTGCAAGAAAACTCATAGAAAAAGCAAACTGCAGAACAGACCACTTCTCTGAAGTCTGGCGTCTGAACATCATTCTCTGTTTATGTTATTAAAACTAAATGACTCAATTTTTGCCGTGCTCAGTTCAGCTAAGGATTTGTCATTCCCTTCCGTATGTCCAGCAGACTTTTTGCTGTAGTCATTTCACCATATGTGAGAATAGCGTTGAATATTGCAGAAAGTGGACCATACCCCTAGAGGGCAAAAAGACTAAAAGTGATCAGATGAAACTAGACTTAAGATCTCCAGTGTGTATAACCATGGAAGGGACAGGAAGATAGCTACTTGCTTACTACAGCAGTATAGAAAGGACATCATAGGATTAATCATTCCGGTAGGTCTAGCACCTTGATGTAAACCTGCTGGTACCACAAAGGTATACTTCCTCTGTGCTTTAGGGGTTCAGGTCTATATGAGGAGCTAAGCTACAGGGCAGTCATGGGGGTCAGAGGTTTTGTTTGGGAGTATGGAAGTGGCTGCATGCAATGAAGAGTTCTGCATTCTCTAACCACAAAGTTTTCACATCTAAATGACTCAGCACATATTGTTACCATATTTTCCAGGAATTGCAATAACCTTAAGTGAAATACTTGCATAATGTCAGGCATCAGGAACTAATACAGCTCCCTACAGGGGCATCACAGGAATTAAGTTTAGTTTAAAACTGTATCAGACCTTGGGAGCTATTCTTGCTTCTCAGTTTACACTGTAACAGGGTTAAACTGTAAACTAAAAGCTACATGAAAAAAAAAAATATATATCCAGGTCTGACATTAGAAGCTTTATCTTTGTCCTTTACTTCAGTGCAAAATAAAAGTTATCATAAGATTCAGAGAGTGCCAACCTTGCCTTGAAGAACATTTTAAAGAATTTCTGCAGCAATCTTTCCCAGTGTAAGGAGCAAACAAGAGAGTCCTGTTCACCACAGCAGCGTGACTTATTGTAGCAGTTCTTGCTTTCAGTAAGCAGAAGATACCTACACTCCTACCATTATTTCTGCTCTTAACTCTTCCTATGCGATGGAAATTGAGGCTAGAAAAAACAAGTTAAATGTACAAACGACTGCTGGATATGCAGGATACTGAGATGTCTGTGTTCCTTCCCCCAGACTACTTACCATACCTAGAACTCTTAATAGGTAGTTTATATGAACTAACAAGAACCTGCTCAAGGAGAGTAAAATGGCCTATCTAGACTAAGTTTCCCCAGCTCTAAGTTCTTGCTATGAAGATGAATTTTGGTTTAACTCTGGTGAGGCCCCACCTGGAATACTGTGTCCAGTTCTGGGCTCCCCCATGCAGGAAGGACATGGAACTCCTGGAGTGTGTCCAGCAAAGGGTGACTAAAATGATTAAAGGACCGGAGCAGCTTTCATATGAGGAAAGGTT